CGCGTCGTCGACTCTCGTCGAGTACACGAATCGTTGGCCAATAGTCAGAAGAAAAAAAAAATCAAAAAAGAAAAAAAAAGAGACCAAAAACAGGAGGGAACATGTAACGGTTTCGTGATACACTCGCAAACAAACAAATCACAAAAGTCTTCCATTAGCGTATAGATTATTATATATATACATATATACATATATATATATATATTATATATTATATGTTTTAATTAATCGTAAGTGATAAGTTGGCGTGTTAAGTGTAATTTAAGGTACGTAGGTTGAATTCGGAGGAGGAAGAGAAATCATTCGTACTCGTGTATTAATCCAATCTCAATTCCGATTTAAATTTACGCACATGTTCCGTACGGATACGCATATCTATTATAAAATTTGTTAGATCAAGGAACGTATTAGAAAAAGATTCAGGGTAAAAAGAAACTCCTGATTCTAACGCAGAGGGAGAGCGAGAAGATTTAACAGAAGAGCATAATCCCCACGTGTTTTGAATTGATTACGAGAGAAGAGAAATCGGAAGATTTGAATGGGATCCGACATTTTTCTATGATAAAAATCCATGTGTCTCCAGGTCGATGAATCGACAATAATTAATTAAGACGTCTTGCTTCTCTGTGCACTCAGCGTGTACGAGTGGAGGCGCGGCGACTATAGTGTGCCTGATACGAAGTCTTCCTTAGCATGTAAGCTACAATGAAATTACGATATATTCCTATATTCTTACACGAGTCACTAAGATATATATCTCTATACAATATACATGTATTACTAATTATATAAAACTCTTAAAAATCTAAGAGCAAGAATACAATCAAGATTGAAGAGGAAATACTTAAAAAAGTTTAAGAGAAATTAACACGAAAAAGAAATTTCTCAAATAATTCCAAACAGAAAGTTTGTTATTTTAAGAAGAGATTGGTTTCAACGACGATTGCTGTTGGGAGAAATAATCGATCAAGCAACGAGGAATTTTTCTCGGTGAACAAGAGAAGATAGGGAAAGAGAGAAAAGAGGAAAAAGAGAAGAAAGGGATCAGAGACGAAAAGTGACGTTTTCATCATCGCTGCCGGATGATTGTTCTCGGTAGGATAGCAGAGGTTCTGAATAAGGTGCTGGTGTAATCGGGGGAGGAAGCCATTACCTGCGCCTCCAACCCTCAACCCCCTTCCGACCGCCTAAACTCTCAAAGCCTGCCTCGAGAAGGGGATTAAGCTGCATCGGAACTACTCGCATGCCCGTCGCCCGACCGGTAGAGCTCCTTAACGTAAATTAGCGGCCGATCGTACTTAATGCTCATCTAATTACCCGGCCGTTAATTATTCAAGCCCTTAGTTTGTCCTCTAGAGTTGCCAGTGGCTGACCAAGCAAATTGCCGGCTAAATGAGATAAAATTTATTGGTAACTATATCGGGAAAATACCGAATACATTATTATAAATCTTCTCAGAAATCTTATAACTAAAAGAAAAATCTTATAATATATTACATCTCATAATTTGAAAACGTTTATGTAAAGGATATAAAGGAAACTTGAAAGAATTACCAAAATGTATATTTCAATGAAGGGATCAAGAAAAATATTGATTACAAATAGAAGAGAGAATTTGCAACAAGATCGAAGTTTCGATTAATTTATATATATTGTTAATTGAAAAATATCAAGGAAGAGGAGGAGTTTTTTCTATCGAGAGTTTTGAATCGAGGAATGATTATGTCTGTGACAGTAGCTCCTTTGAAACCAGCTCGTGGACGAGGTCCAGCTGATGGCCGAGCATTTTTTGAGACACTCTGGAGAGGAAATTTCTTCTTGGATAGACAGAAGGTGATGAAACGATCGCGAAAACGAAAGTTGCAAGTGGCGAACGGAAAGAAGCGTGCACAGCTGCAGATGCGACAGCATTGTTGCTGTTGTCAGCGCATACAACTCCACCTCCTCGCCGGACGGCGAAGCAACATGCGCTCCGTCGTTAGGTGAATTTGTCACGAACGTTTATTAAGTGTATAATTTTTTCTTACGTTGAATAATACGTTTTTATGGCCTGCTTTTTATTTGTGGAAACTTATCTTGTTTAGACACGAACCTTTTACTTTTCATTACTATAAAAATGGTAAATGTTCATCCTTTTTTTTTTATTTTTTAATATTTTTTATCGATTAATGCATTTTTAAGATTTTTTGCCGTCTACCTTTCACCTGTGAAAATTTATTGTTTTGAGATAAAATCTTTTTACATTATATAAAAATCTTTGAAAAGTTATCGAAGGTAAAAATTATAGTTTCTACGTTCTAATAATTTTTCTAGGCTTTAAGAAAATTCTTTTTCTACATAATCATTATTGTAAAGACTTAGAATGATTGTATTTTTAAATTTGAATTAACTTTCTCGAGAAGTCCGTGGGAAGATAGAAAGACTAACTGAAGGAATTGGGTTTCTCTGACCACAGATTATCGTCTCTACTTATTGTACATGGATATTCGATACGTCTAATGGCACACAGCTGATAGAATGTAGGAAAGTATCGCTACATATTCCTTTCCTATTCAAACATTGCTATAAATATATTTGTTTATTTTACAGTTTTTAACTAGAAAGTTAATAACTTAAAAAGTTCTCGACAGAAATTCAAAACCTAAAAATATCAGCAAAGAGGAGATGTGATTAACTGGGGGGATTAAAAAGGCAAACGC